GTAGTAGCAGTAGTAGCAGTAGTAGCAGTAGTAGTAGTAGTAGTAGTCGCAGCAGCAGTAGTAGTAGTAGTAGTAGCAGTAGTAGTAGTAGTAGTAGTAGCGGTAGTAGTAGCAGTAGCAGTAGTAGTAGCAGTAGCAGCAGGAGTAGTAGTCGTAGTAGTAGTAACAGTATTACTCGTCCAAGTTCTATAGTAGCAGTTGGTCGCGTTTGCCGCGACCGGCTCTGCTGCTACTCCTCCCCCTCCTCCTGCGCTGCTGATGCTGCTCTCGAAGTATTGGCTCCGCCGATGCAACAACTTAACATCTTATATCGGCTTATTGGCTGGCTTATCGGCTTATCGGCTTGTTTTCCAAAAGACCTCATAAGATGCGGAGCATCCACCCTACACTCACACGCCCGATACTTGGATGTAGCAGACATTGATAGACAGCGGTGCCTCGCAGCAACGAATGATATCTTCCCCGCAGAGGTATGTCACAGCAGTTGGAATTGGTTCTGGAGACCTGGAACAAGGACCTTTATATCGTGCTGAAAGCAGGGCAGGTTTGGCTAATCATGTGTTTTTTGTGGCACTTTCGAAAATGGCAGGACGGCACACCTGCCATACATGCTGAAGTGAGGTGACACAAACGATCATAAACTTAAACGCCTCAAGCAGGAAGCAAGCAAAGAATTCTTAACAGTACTTGTGCTTGAGCCGCCACGCAGTGAACCCGAGAAGCTACACAAAAAGTGCTCGGGGCAGGGGTCGATAATGGCCACTAGCGATGCGTAGTACGCAGTGCCCAGCCACGAAAATGCGCGCATCAACGCACGACAACACAGGCAGACAGTCATGTGTGTGTTAACTTATCCTTCTAGCTTGAGTTTCCTCTGCACGGCAAGCAAGGACCTTGGTCCAGTTGAGCCGAGTCACACTGCAGTGGTTTGCCGCAGCCTCGCCGACCTTCAAGACTCTTGGAATTTGGCTGAGGCGGACAACTGTTGTACTTAACTCTGTTTAGGGCCTTCTCAAGAGCAGGCGCCGTGGGAGACATGCTGACCCAGACTGTCTCCATGTAGCCAAGGATTACAATTCACCAAGCGCGCCTGCAGCTCTGTTGAGTCTCGGTGTGGTGATTTTCGCGGTTCCGTCGAAGAACAGCTTGAGTCTTGAGCCGATCCAACAGCTCAGGAAGTGCTGTGTCCTTTGCTGCGGCATCGTGTCCCTAGGGACCGGCACACTGCAGCAGCAGCTGCGAAGTGCAGGAGGCCGACGGAGACGGCGGAGCATACTGCCATTTCACAAGCATACTGATGCATTTTGTTTTTTGCTTTTTGTCCGTGGCTCCAAGCTTTGCGCGATGGCTTTGTGGTGCAATGGCCTGCTCAGCCACCGCAGCCGCAGCCCCGAAGCTCCATGGATGCACAGGAGTGAAAGCGCGGAAAAGGCTCAGCATTGCAGAAATTTGGGCCAGTAACTGCAGAGGCCTGTGCCGGACATCCTCTCTGGTCTTTACCGCGCATCCCTCGAAGCTCCAGAGGCTTTCCAGGCAGAGTTTGAGGCAACCACCTCTCGCGTGCTGTCGATTCTCGAGAGCTCCCCAGCAGCAAGATACGAGTGAGGCACCGCGGATTCGCTCGAATCTGTCTTTGTCTGAGGTTTCCCACTGAAGCGAGACGAACTCGAGACGGCTCAAGGCGAAAATGCCTTGCACTTTGCTGCCGGATGTGGCAGCCTTGAGGCCTCCGTTTCCGTTTTCTGAAGCGCTGCCTCCCGTCCGCAACCAAAGCGCGGCGAAGGTCTGTCAGGCCTTGTTGGAACGCCATCCAGATCTCATCCATCAGGACCTCTCAAGGATTTCTGGTAGCAACGTTGGCACTTTTGAGCGGCGATGCCTCGGCAGTTGGCAGGAAGACACCCATGGCCACACACCACTCTTCTGGGCAGTTCGCCACGGATTGGCTGGGGCTACGCAGCTGCTCATCAGGACGCAATCTAGAAAATGTAGAAAGCCAGTAGAGGGCAGGCCGCCTGCCTTTTTCTGGGGTCTTCCATGCCAGCACTCCCGGAAGCGACTTCGAACAAGGTGTCAGCCGACACTATGCAGAGACTTCCTTGTCTGCAGGAAAGGCGCGGCATCCTGGCATTGCGACAAGCGTGGCCTTACAGCCTTGCACTGGGCCGCCGCATTGGGTTTTGCAAGGACGGAGTAGCTGAATCGCATGCCAACAGTCCTTGGAGCATGTGGCAGTTTTTTGTTTCAGAATATCTGAGCATCCCAGAAACTCTTGATCAGGCTATGTGGAATGCTGGTCGACGTTCCCGCAGCTGCAGCTCTGAAGAATCAGCGCTGCAGCAGGGGATGGACTCCTCTGCATTCCTCGGCTTACGGTCGGCTTCCCAGAAGTGTCGGCTTGTCTGTGCTTCTGCTGCAAGCTGCGAAAGGTGGTTCAGCCGAGTGCTGCACGACACTGCTCGATGCCAAAGCAGATGTCGGACAACGCACACCTCAGGAGCAGTGCGTCCTTGGAAGATGCGGCTGGGTCCGGGGTCTAGCACAGTCCTTTATGAGGAGTGGACCGCGCTGCATCTTGCTGCCGTCAAGGGGCACATCGAGGTGCAAAGAATGCGGCAATGCTGCAGTGCAGACCACTAGGAGCGATCGCTCTTCCACTCTTCCACTCATTCCACTCTCCCTTCTTCTCTTCTTCTCTTCTCGCGGCAGTGGCAGGTGCTTGAGGTTCTCTTGCCTCACTGCTCCACTGAAATGATTTTGGCACTGGACCGTCATGGGTGCAGTGCCAAGGACCTTGCGGAGGCTGGCAAGGGCGTGTCCTTAGAGTCAAGCAGTCGCGTGCGCTTGTTAGGAGGCTGGAGAACATCAGGCTGAGGCCATGCTTCAGCAGGAGCTCTCACAGACACGATGCAGTCTTGGCCTTGCCAAGATCGTGCTGCGTTGTGAGGAGACTCATCGGCAGTTGATGCGCTCGTGGAACCCATGCTCTCAAAAGCAGCCAGAGGTCGCTTCCTCGGCTTCCTCCTGAAAGGACCCGAGAAAGTCGCCTTCGGTAGCCAGTACTCTTGTTTGCAGGTCAAGCTGTCGGATTTGCTGGCGGCTGCGCTGTGCATCCAGGCATGTGCCAGGAATTGTGAGTTGGTTCATGTTCATGAGCACTAGCCAGCGATCGCGCAGGCTCCGGTCCTCGAAAAAGTGGGTCGTGATGCGGTGGAACTCAGCTGCCATATCGTGGACCTTCAGCAGCTCAACTGTTTGCGGTGTAGTTTCTCTTATGTTGCTCCCTACACCCACTGCAGTCCCGAAAAACATTTGCAACAGAGGTTCAGAGTCAGTGGCTATGTCGTGGAGGTGAAGCACTGTGGTGGCCCAGATGGTGCAGCACCGGCTCGGGTCTACTATGCCCGGACCGTGGAACAGCGCAAGGCCTTTCGAAAATGCTGTTGCATACCATTCTCCAGTCCCGTTAGAACCGAAATTGCATCACACCCACGCACACAATTTCTTCTGAACAAGACAGCCCTTCTCCAGTCCCGTTAGAATCCGTTAGAACCGAAATTGCATCACACCCACGCACACAATTTCTTCTGAACAAGACAGTCTTGATCTTCGCCACTGCACGGTCCCAATCTTTCGATCGGTCCAATCTGTTCGAAATGGGCTATGTTGTTCAGCATCTCGTGCCATCATGCAATCGAAACGTCTGTTTGTAGAGTAGGCCCTCGCGACTCGGGCCCTTGAAAAGGTTTCACATGTCGGCGTGTCACCCCACGTTCCCCGATATTCCCCGATTTCTCGGTGCGCTCCTGGAGCATGAAAGGAGAAACCCCCAATGCTCGGCCCCATGCACGAATGTGCCTTGGCCTTGCTGCAGATTAGTGCGACCAGAGATTGGGCACGCACAGACAGGGTTTTTCCGCCTTGTGGGGCAGATCTTCAGGTTATGTCAAAGCCGTGAGCCAGCAAGTATTTCCAGAAAGCTCTGGAGCAATCGAGTGGGATGTGGCCGCAGATTAACTCGTTCAACCATCATTTACCTTTGCTCACTTCGTCGAGCATCTTGCGAAACATGGGTGTGGTCTGCTGATACGGGCAGGGTGCATTGAACTGTTGGGAGGGCAGTCTCGTGGCCGCCATGGCCGAGACTCATGCAGAAGACGTGGGCATCACACGCTGTTATGTACCGTCGACTCTCCGTGCCGGTATGCTGCGGTGACATGGGAAACGAGGGCCACGTGCCTGGAGTTTTGGAGCTTTGCCTTGCTTGGGAGGTGGAGTTCGTGGAGTTCCTGGTGCCCCGCATGAGATCAAGCGGACAAGCCGTGTGGCAGCGAGGCAGCTCGGGCAGGACCAAACAGCATAGGCCGAGGTTTCCTGATTTTGTCGAGTGCCAAACAGAAAGCGCAATGGCGCAGGGGAGAGATACAAGTTTCGTATACGCGGTTGCTGTGAACGGCGCTTGGCTCCAGAACCTGGCGCACCTCGACAGGCAGCTTGGCTTGAAACTGCGAGGGTTGCGCACTGGTTGCGCATGTCTGTTATTTTACATGAGCCGAGCTTTGCGAGCCTTTCTGAGGTGATTTCTGACTGGTCGATTGCTGCGTGTCTCACCCCGCAACGCCGCCATCGTGCTTCCAGCGCCAGAATTCGTAGGTACAACTCGTTCCCCAGTTTACGACGGATGTGAGAGATGTCAATAGAAATCATTACTTACTTGCCTTCAGGCCAATCAGTTCAGAAATGAGAACTCGCTTGGACCTGCAAGTATGCATCCACATCCCTCGGTGAGCTGGAGCTGCTGTCAATGTATCGCTAAGCCGCTAAATCACGGCAGGCAAGCACACTGACCGCTGCCGCATTGCCGAAAAATGAGAGGGGCATCTTCAGCCGTCTGCTTCTTTGCAATCTTCGTGCGTTCAGGTGGCTTGCGGCTCGCAACATGGAGTTCCTTGCCACAGGCGCCAGCGCCTAGCGCCGACAGACGCCGAAGTGGCGAACAACAGAGGGCAGCTAGAGAGAGCGGCAGGGAAGCGGCCTGGGCAGCTCTTCCGTTTTGGCGGCCGCGGCGGTCAAGGCCTTGATGGCCGCTTGGGCCGATCGGAGGATGGGTGCTCTGCTCTCTTACATCTAGCATCTAGCTCTTGTAGATTGTAGATTTGTGCGGCCGAAGTCGCATGAATGCTTGGAAGTTGAGGCAGCTTTCGGTTTGGACATGGATGCGGAATCTCTCATCCATGCAGCTGGGCCAGCACTGCGCGAAATCATCTTGGCAATCTGAAGTTGTCTCGAGCCCGTGCACGTGCCGCTCGAGCTTTGAACTCGCGGTGCCTTCAGAGAACCAATAGTTCCGGCAATCACTCAAGTCCGCGATCCAAGAAACAGAGCCCTTGGCTGAGGCGGTTCAGAATGTCGAGCAGATGCTGACCACGGGTGGAGGCTGGCAAGACCAGGCCGGAGACCCGCAAACCAACAAAGCAATTCGAATGACAATGAGCCATGAGTTCAGCACACCACGTATTTCCGCACAGGTTGGTGCGATTCTGGGTGGTGCAAAGCTCACGCGCAGCAAAGCCTCGCTACCACTGAGAGTCTTGCCGGCGACTCGTCAAAGGAAGAAGCGTTCATTGTTCCTCACCGGTGGGTTGGTTTGTGCGAGCGCTCACCAAGCAAGGAGCAGCTACCACTGCAGCCCTCATTTTCAGAAGAATTCGAATCGCGCCTCTTGTTGATATTCACTGGCACCTCAGCGAGACGTTCAGGTGTGTCCGTCCTTATGGCTGGCATTCAAGTGTTCCGTCAGGCCGGCCACGTTTGGCAAAGCATTTGCTGCAGATCCTTGGATGCGATGCACGTCAGCTCGAGGATGCGGCGTGCTCGTCTGCCGCTATGTGAGTCTTCCCAGGAATGTAATCCGTCGATGGTTCAGCCGCGTACCGGAGATCTGTGAGACCGTCAAAGGTCTGGTTTCTTGACCACAGGAGAAAGCACAAAGCCTTTGAATTTGTGCGCGCTTCGTTGCACGACGAAGTTTTAGAGAACCAGGGGTTGTTTCGGTGAACTTCTGCCATTTTGGCGGCTTCGAGTGTTGTTGTGTTCTGGATAAAACTACATACATTCTTCCGTGGCACCTAGATGTCTAAGGCTGATTAAGGCAATTTACAGCTCAGTCCTTGCATATGGCTTGGGTTTAACAGCGCAGTGCAAGGTCGACAACGCGCAGGACTGCGCAGAGGCCATTCGAGCCGGCGATGTCGAAGAGGTTGGCCGGTGTCTGTCGCGGTATTGGGCCCAGAAGCAAGTGATGGCTGCTGGCTGCGAGCCACGGCCGGTTGGGCAGCTGCGGAAAATCTTGGAGGCTGACCTACTAGGCACGCCGTGACAAACTGTTCTCGGTGTTCAGACGGCTTCAACTCTTGACTCCGTTGCATCCGCGAGGTTTCTCCTTAGCTGGTGCTGGGGGCGGTGGCTTCGGAACTCTTTTGATGCGCAAACCTTCAGCCAAAGAGAGGGTGCAGCAGGCACTGGGCCAGTGTCCGGGCTTGGAGGACTGACTTGATTACACCTGGTGAACCATGAACGAACTGCGAAAACGTGAGAGCATTTGATGGAAAATTCCAGCTTGACTTGACGTAAGAAACCTAGGGGGCTGCTCTCCACCTTGCTTGCCTCTTAGTTGGTCCTGAGGACGCCTATGTCTGCGAAGCAACGATCGATCATGTGGGCATGGAGTTGGTCGGCAGTGAGACCTAATTGGAAAAAGATTCGACGGAACTGGCGGTCTTTCCAGCAGACAACTTCGGACGTCGTATGTTCTGCACATCCGGCAGGCCTTGGATTCTGTTTTCGAGACGACCTCCCTGCTGCCGGATGCAGTGAACCGCCAAGTTGCACCGCAAGGGGTAACTCATGTCCGACTGTAGCCACACCTCCTTGAAGGACTGGCCTGTGAGGGTCGCGGTTTATAGGCTCCAGGTTTGATATGGGTGTCAGGAAGTGTTATCTCCGGCATGATGGTAGAAATTCCTGCAGCTGAAGCGTGGGACATGACCATGGTCACCAGATTGCAAAAACCCTTGGCAGGGTAGTTTGCAGCAGGCACATGGCGACCACGTGTCAACTTCGTAGGACACGTGTGAAAACCGATCTTCCATTCTCACCTTGATGCCAGGCGTTAGCAGATGTTGTTGGTGCCCTGGGCCGCAACTTGAGGCCATCCAGGTTCGTGCGATCGCTGCTATAGCGCCAAAATCGCCAACTAGCTGCGACTGCGTAGCAACTGGGTAACGCATGGTACCTGTTGAGGGCAGGGCCGGGTAGGGCGAAGCAGCTTGGCGTCTGGTGACTTTGGTGGCACAGGACTGCGGACACAGAGGAGGGGACTTTGATTCTTCACCGCATGGTCCGTGCCCGAGCACTCGGACAGCCACAGCATCTCCCAGCATCTCCCTGTCGAGTAGGTCGACCTCTGCAATTTCAACTTGGCGCGGCTCTTCCTGGCCCCGAGTGCAGTCATTGTTTAAACAAGCTTCTGCCTGGAGGGCTTAACATCGGGATGATTTGTAAGCCGGCAGTGCAGGTGTGGGACTCCATTCTCAACACAATCACGGAGGCCACTTCGTGCTGGAAGCTTTCAAACTGCCTGGGTTTGAAGGGACTTCGGCTTCGTTGCGCACGTCTCAAGTTTGCAAATCCTGTTCGTTTGGCATGCGTCGTGCCGGGGACATGGGTTCGGGATGCACGAAGGAGCATGAAGAAGACAAGAGTGCTGGTCTCGCTCGTGCATCATTGCCTTGCTTCCGAGATGCTACAAGGCTCAATATCATGCCTGTTGCGGCCATTGCCATTGCTGGACACCGGTCCTGGGCTGTTTCTTGTAGCTGCTAGGCAGCGCCTCGTTGCGGAGGTTGACATCTTGCTCGCAATCTGGCCAGTCGCCACACCTGCAAGACAGGATCTATGTTGAAAATGTGGCTCGTGATCAGCTTCTGCCGAGCACGACATCGTTTAGTTTAGTCGCTGCGGCTCGATTCTGATCATCAGCCGGATCGAATCATCGTCTGATCATGTGCTTGCCAACCCCCACGAGTTCTAGCTACCGCACAGCTTGCCGCAAAAGCTGGACAGTTCCAATTGAGGCCAAACCTAGGCCAGGCCGCCAGACCTAGGCAAACACGGACCCGCCAGACCCCAAGCGCTGGACCATCGCCACACGAATTTGCTGTGCAACAAAGCATGGCCTGAGTGGTTTTGCGAACGGCTTTGCTCATTGAGTTGAATCGGGACCTGGTGTACAAAGGCTGCCAATTCCTGTCTCGCATTGATTTCGGTAGCCGGATTACCGAACATGCGACGGCCAGAATTTGCATGAGCATGTTTTAATCGGAGTCGGTCCCATGCAAGTCGAATCGCATGCTCAGCTTATTCAGCTCCGCAGGTCTGCACAGCGGAGGAGAAGACGGAGTGAGATCCCTGGAGTGCACCACGGTGAAGCTGCGATGATGGTTCCAGCTTTCTTGTGTCTGCATGGATGTATGCGCTGGAAGCCTCTACCCGTTTTTTGTTAAGGCCTGTGCGTTGGGTTTGGCGAAGGAGTTGTTGAGGATACGGCGTTTGGTTTACTTCTCGTCCTGCATCATCCTGTGGCCTTGCTTGGGACACGACAGAAAAATGTCAGCATTTGCAGCTCCCTCGCCCTCCCCTACCTCAATGGTTTGGCATGGTAAACCCCACCCCTGCCTCCTTAGCGAGCAACGCGGATTCTTCTCATTTTCCTATTGTCTTGAAAGGGCAGTAGAGGGGCTTCCCGTGTACAGGGGGATACTATCGGAGGATATCGGAGCGAAGGCGGGACACATACAACACCGACACATATCAAGCTCGTGCTATATCTCTAAATCTCTAAATCTGTATCTTATGAATAATAAATACATATATATATATATATGTATATGGTAAGCCCCCCCCCCAGGACCAACCTCGACCATTGTCCTGCTCATTACTGTCTTCACAGCGTCATGGATAAGAGCCGAAACCACTGTAAATGCCGATGGTGTTTGTGTTCCCGTACAAAGTTTGGGTAGGGAATGAGGGAATTTAGGGAATTCAGGGTTGGTCTTGGGGGGGGGGTTAGCATATATCTATCTATCTATATATATATATATATATATATACATGTACGCGGGACTCTTTCCCGTGCAGCCCCTGTTCCAAAGCACCGGGGGCTGTTCATCTACGAGGGTTCAAAGAGAAAACGGCCACGGCTTCGACGGTGTTAGTCACATTTCCAAAGCACCGATTGGACCCCAGGACCCCTTCCAGCCCCAGGCTCCGCGGCCAAGCTGCAACAACCCTCTGCTTGATACTTGGACAGGTCGGATTAGCAGAGTCAAGAGTTGAGTTTTTGCGACCGGAGCGTCAGCTTCTGCATCGGCGTGTTGTTCAGCTGGAGGTCATTCCGGAAGATTCAACTCGGATCCATTTATGCACCGTTTATCCCGTCTGTCGCCAGGCTCTGAGGAAAGGTGCGCTAGCTTTGGCAGACCATCCGGAGGCCAAACAAACCGTTCATTTGTGGAAAATTAGATGCCTGAATCACACGTGCTTTGGTGAGGAAGCTCAAGATGAACTGCTCCGCCACCTGGAGGTACCGAAAAGCTGCCTCTGAGACACCGACTTGAGTACTCAGTATCTTGACGCAGGTTCTCCTTCGGAGTCCGCATGAGGACACAAGGGCCAGGATATGTGAGGCCAGAAGTTGGGCGGGGCATCCAGAGACGGGTAGGGAGACAGAGAAGTGAGAAGAGCTCATTGAATGTCCGAGAGACTGCCCCTGGCTCTAAGTGTCTCATTAACCCCAAGCAAAGTAAAGTTCAGCTATCTTTTGATGATAAACAGAGTGGAGCTTCCTTCAATGGCGGTTCGCGAGCTCACGTCATTAGAGCCTTGCGCTCTCTGTGACAGCACCTTGGATGGACGCCAGACATCCCCGCACCAGCTGTTGAATCTCCCGACCGAACTGCATGTACTTACATCGGGCCAGCACGCGAGTTGATGTGAGTCAAGAACCTGCCAGTGGGTAGGGTTGCTGCCGAGCGTTCAGCTGGTTATCAGGCTAAGCATAATGATAGACGGGCACAAACCAGAGTATTTCCCCCAGCTTTGACATTTTGGTGCTTCTTGCTGCTGGTACAGCATGTACGCCCTCATGGCTTGAAGACAACAACCTGCTGCCAGGGTCTCTTGAGTATCCTCCAGACGTCTGGGCAGGAGCTCCACAAGACAGCATCAACCTGACGTGTTGGCCAATGTTTCGCATGACATTCCAAGCTGCTGACTTGAACACGGAGTACCTTAGCTCTGAAGCCATTCATTCAAAACGTCATGATGACTTGCTGTGGCGATTTCAGTGATGAATATCTGCATGCCCTCAGCCGAGGCTTGGGGCACCATGCTGGCTGCTTACCCTGTTCAAGTTCTCGTCAGCACTTCGTATGTGATAATACCTCAAATATCGAAAAACTAGGCCAGGGAAATGTGATACATTGGTGGAGGTGAGACTGCAAAATCCAGACCAGGACAAACGCTCACGCACAGCCGGCGAATCTCCTGACGACTACATAATCTAACAACCGGAACTCATGTCGTAATGATTGTGACCTTGGCTAGCGACTATCTGTTGGGATGCATGACACTGGAGCTTCTGGGCTTAGCAATTTGGGCTCGACGTGACCCAGACGGTCAGCAGCCTCCGGAGAGTCAGAGGCCGGGCTTTCCATGTGAGGGCTGCAGCTACCTGCTGCAACTGACACGGGGTGGGCTGACAAGTTCTAGTCTTGGAAAGTCGTGCGCAGGAGCCTTCATGGCAGAGTCGGAAGTAGCGATAGCCGTCTTGCCCTCGGCACGTGCGGCAGTCTTGCCACGTCAGAACAGTGTTGCATTAGGGATCAGGCTCAGGTTGATAGCTCGGTGGCACAATGTGGCCCGCAACTCTACTCAGCCTTGGCCTTGGAACTACTGAGCGGCAGGGACCTCAGCCAAACAGCTCACGCGATCAAGTGCCTCGGTGGAGCCCAGCGTTTTGAGAGACGATCTGAGGTTTAGATCTCGTTGCCCCTCAGCTGCAAAAAGCACCACTCGTGGCCGGTCGCAAAGTTCCAGGCATGCTTGACATGTGGGAGGTTCCTGAAACCAAGCTTCTTCGACCAGAGAAGCAGCTAGAGATCTACCACTATGCCTCGCAGCTGTATGAGTTCAGAGATGCCATCCTGGCATTTTGGCGAGAGGCGATTCATGGCATCATGCAACCAGATTTTTGAGCGACTCGGGTAGTCTCTGTTGGCCCGGCCCGCTGCCGTCAGGAGCTCTCCGAATCCTCCCAGCTTCCAGACGCTTATCGCGCAGCGGCCCAGGCGGTGAAGGCTTGACGCAGACACTGATATCACTGACTGTGCCCCAGCAGCTGTGGATTCTTGTCAGCATAGTCTTGACCGAATCCGTCAGGTTCAGTGGCAAGGCCACGGTACGTGGCCGTCGTTGGCAGAATTAAAGGGCAAGAAGGCTGGGCAGGTGTCTCAGCGAGAGAGAGAGAGAGAGAGAGAGAGAGAGATAGATAGAGCCTGACCCTTGCGAAGCGAAGCGAAGAGATAGATCAGGTGCTCCAACTCGCGCGGGGTAAGGGCCTGGACGCTGCCCTTGAGTCCCACCTCGTAGAGAGAGAGAGAGAGAGAGAGAGAGAGAGAGAGAGAAAAGCCTGTTTATATAAAAGAAGACCTGAGGACTCTTGTGGAGTAAAAGACTGCATCGCAACTGACAATACTTGTTTAGTCGTCTCTGATGATCCAGTACTACCTGTTATGATGGGCATTGGCCATACCTTTACGATGCTTTAAAGTGTTGATGGGCGATTGCAGTATCTGGCCCAATTCGCTGCGTACCATGAATACATGTGGCGGAAGAAGCCAACCAACTCCCCTGCCAGTCCGTATCTCTTGTTTCGAGAGTGTAGCTATGATATCTTCCCTTTGGGTTGACGGGGAGCAATGAGTTGGTATGTATGTGTCTTGGAGAGCGTACAGTCACCCAGCTCAGTTGTCGTAGATTTTATGGCCTTAGCCCATCCGAAGGTGGCAGAGTGTTAGCTCTGCCACCCTGGAGGGTGGACACTCCCTGGGGTGGGGGTGGTTTGAGTCACACGCCGATCGCAAGGGCCCCCTCGCCTACTTTGAGCAAGACCTTCCTTGA